CAAGGCTCTTGCCCAGGTCAGCTTCTTGACGGGTCACGGGTCGAAAATTGGCCTAATAAAATACAGTAATCCGGTACTTCCCAAAGTAGTAAATGAATGAACTCACATCACAGCAAGGTCGAGGAATTTTTCAATAAAATTCGAAAATGTTCAGTTTAAATATTTGGAGTCCGGCTATTTTTTTACTAATAGTTCTAATTAAGAATCGTCACATCAACATTTAAGGTTTAACTTTAAAAACTTTATGAATCTCCGTTTGACCCGTTGACCCTGGTTATAACCGGGTAAGACCTCTAGATAAATATTTAATTTCCAAACTTTTAATCTATTATTAAAAACATATTATTTCGACATATGTTTTGGTTTAAAAGTCACTATGGATAAAAGGACTGAATTTGAGTTATATTTGAAATCTGCTGAAGATGGTAATTCCATTGCACAATTTAATGTTGAAGTCATAGGCACAGATAAGAATTATAAAGGAATTTGAGTGGTATTTGAAATCTGCTGATGGTGGTAATTCGTATGGACAATATAACCTTGGATGGTTTTATCAAAATGGCATTAGCACATATAAGAATGAAAAAAAGGCATTTTAATGGATAATGAAACTGCTGAAGGTGATAATTCCACTGCACAATATAATCTTGCGTTGTGTTATGAGGCACGGAAAAAAATGAAACAAAAGCATTTGAGTTTTGTTTAAAACTGCAGAAAATGGTTATTATCCCGGACAGTATAAAATTGGACTATGTTATCGGAATGGCTATGGAACATCGCTTAATAAGAAAAAAGCTATTAAATGGCTACAAAAAGCGAAAAATGATAATGTTAAAGAGTAGTTAATCCTGAAGAGCTTGATTCTTCTCTAAAAATCATTATCAAACAATAATTTCATGGATTCCATCTAATGAAATAGAGATGGATTTACAAATGTTTATTCCACAAGTCTTATGTAAAAACCTGTGCCTTTTTATTTGGTTATTGCACGGGATTGTACGTCAGACACCGTGAAATGATATAGTTATTATATGGGTATATGAATAACCCGTGGCCTTCGGCCACAAGTATGTATTCTGCTAATTGGAAACGCGAAACCACAGATGAGATTTGTATCAAATGGTTGCACTCAAATAGTTTCATGGATCAAAAAATAGCTGTGAAGAACTCATAAAAAAGTAAATAATTGATAAATTTATAAATTTGGTATTATTATTTATTTATTAATAAATATGAGTTTAAAGCTAATCGCATATTCAAAGATTGGATCTAAAGATCCCACATTTTTGAATGCCATGGAATATCAACAGATGCATGCATTATATAGTTTGCAATATGTGCCAATGGGATCATTACATAGTTATTCAAATGAAATGGGAGAAAAAATTGGAATTGTAATCTTATATTGCATTCGACCTCCAAATAATTCATTTGAATAATATTATTCATAGTGATTTACATAGCGGTGATATATTTCAAAATGATTTATAGTGCTTATATTGGAGATTTAGGATTTGCAATATCGGTTAATAAAACATTAGACAAAGAATCAGGGTGATTTATGGAGCTTTATCATATGTAGCGCCGGAAGTTTTACAAGGAAAAGCGTTTACCAAAGCATCAGATATTTATTCTTTTGGAATAATTATGTGGGAGATTTCATCTGGAAAGGTTGTATTTTCTGACTATAAAAATGATAATTTAAGATTGACAGTAGAAATTTGTGAAGGTCTGAGACCAACAATTATTAAAGAAACATCATGTTTCGTAAATCTTTTAAAGAAATATTGAGATGAAGATCCAAAGAAACGACCGTCAGCTATAGAAATTCTTGAAACTATTTTAAAATGGAAAAATAATTCTGAAATTTTAGCTGAGTTCTTAAAATCTGATAAAGAAATGGAGATAGAAAACAATAACACTAATAATGATACTGTAACACTGAAGACGACACAATTTATACTAGCAAATTCATTATTATCTTAATCAACAGTCACATGAATATATAACTGTTAACGTTCATGAAAATGAAGTTATTTCTAATAATAATATTTGCATTGATGGTATTTATAAGAATAGTAAGTTAAACTACGTTTATATTTATTTATAAAAGAGTTAATAAAATGTAATGTGAAATAATTGTCTAAACAAATTAGAAAATAGTTTTTATATTACACATAGATCAAGTCATTATACCGAATGATGAAATGCATAATCTTTGCTATTCTCATTAGTCTTTCTTTCCAATCCCACTATCAAAGCCATTTAAAAAACAATCACTAATTGGTTAAGGTTAGATTAGTGTTGGAAAAGACAATACTGTAATTAGAAAACCTCCTAGCCAAAAGTTTCATAAGGAATTTTTTTGTTATGAAAGTTTCATAAAAAAAAAATTCCAAGTTAAAGGCGATTCTTCAAAAAATTCATAATTGCTTTGACTTTTATGTTATACTTCATCTGCGCCTTGATTTATTACTGCAATATGGAAAATACACTACCAGTGACAGGCTCCATGTATCTCCCACAGGCGTCTATCGCCAGTAGCAGATCTTCCAAAACCGTCAATTCGGATCCGAATCCGGTTTATGCAGTGAGTTTGAAAAACTGCTACTGGCTACGGGTACATGTTGGAACCTGTTGCCAGTAATGTGTTTTCCGTATTAATTATGTACCGTTTTAGTTCGAATACCTTTTGTAAAAAGCTACTTTCATACCCATTAAAAATACGGATTCATTCGTAATAATTTTGTTCGCCAGTAAAAACTTTAAGATCTGGCACGAGAAAAAATAAATAATAATAATAAGGGCATTTATTCTCAAAATTTTACTAGGGTAACCCCTGTTGTGTAACTAATAAAAAATATTCTCCGTAAAGTTTTTAAAACCATAACCCTAATTTAATTTATACGTATTTATATTGATTTTGTTATAGGGTGCACCGTGTGCACCCCGCACCAAACATATTTATCCTAATAATAATAATAATAATAATAATTTAAAACATACTCACTTCCAGAAAGTCAAAGGCAAATAAATGCCTTATTGGCGTAACCAACCTATGCCGATACTATAGATTTCACGTTACACAATTTTACAATTTACGTACTTCTGCGCAGGATATTTTGGGGTAGTTCAACATCATGTGATCTGTACAAATGACGTATCGATATTTCTGTATTTGTTGATCATATCATCCGTTTATTTGTACGCATGTTAATCTGTTTAATTTGCATTATTAATGAAACACTTTTTCTTTGAACTCAAAGATGATAAGCGAAGAACAAGGAACCTTTTTTTATTATCAACATTCTGCTGAATTGGGCGATCCTGATGCTATATATAATGTAGGATATTGCTATCAAAATGGGTTTGGAGTTAAAAAGGACGAACATCAAGCGTTTATTAACTATCAAAAATCCGCAGAGATGGGTCATGTTAGCGCAACATATAATCTTGGTAATTGTTATCTTTTGGGAATTGGTGTTGAACAAGATGATCATAATGCATTCATTAATTTTCAAAAAGCTTCCGAGATGGGTGATTTAGAAGGGACTTATTATCTTGGTTATTGTTTTCAAAACGGAATTGGTATTGAAAAAGATGAATACAAAGCATTCATTAATTATCAAAAAGTTGCTGAGAATGGACATGCTAATGGCTCATATTATCTTGGTTATTGTTATCATTATGGAATTGGTGTTGAAAAAGATGAAAGTAATGCTTTCATTTACTATCAAAAATCAGCTGAAATGGAGAATGTTGATGCAATATATATTCTTGGCTATTGTTATCAAAATGGAATTGGTGTTGAAATAGATGAACATAAAGCGTTCATTAATTATCAAAAAGCCGCGGAGATGGGTCATGTTAGTGGTACATATTATCTTGGATATTGTTTTCAAAACGGATTTGGTACTGAAAAGGATGAAACTCAAGCGTTCATTAATTTTAAAAAATCTGCCGACATGGATGATATTGACAGCATATTCCAAGTTGGATATTGTTATCAAAATGGGATTGGCGTTGAAAAGGATGAATACCAAGCATTTATTAATTACCAGAAATGTGCTGAGATGGGACATATTAATGGAATATATAATCTCGGATATTGCTATCAAAATGGCATTGGTGTTGAGATAGATGAATATCAGGCATTCATTAATTATCAAAAATCTGCAGAAATGGGTCATGTTAGCGGAATATATAATCTCGGGTATTGCTATCAAAATGGAATTGGTGTTGAAAAGGACGAATATCAGGCATTTGTCAATTATCAAAAATCTGCTGAGTTAGGTGATACTGATAGCACATTTCAAATTGGATATTGTTATCAAAATGGCGTTGGAGTTGAAAAGGATGAACATAAGGCATTTATTTATTATCAAAAATCTGCCGAAATGGGAAGCTCTGACGGAATAAACGATCTTGGCTATTGTTATCAATACGGAATTGGAGTTGAAAAGGATGAATATAAAGCATTTATAAATTATCAAAAATCCGCTGATATGGGAAATGTTACTGCAATGTCACAGCTTGCTTATTGTTTTAAAAATGGAATTGGGACGGAAATAGATTTGCAAAAAGCTGATTATTGGACACAAAGGTAAGTAGTACATTTTGATTTATGTTATAATAAGCTTTAATTAAGATTTTAATTCAGAAATAAAATTAAATAATCAATAGGGGAAATAACTAGTTTATTAAGCATTTCCTAGTTACATACAGAGATGTAAAATGTGAGTAAATGTGTTAGTTTATTACTTAGTTCCATTAGGTGCCCAACAATTCCGCAATTTTTGCATTCACAGTATCAGTAAGACGCTATTATGCTTCATAAATATTTATCAGGCCTATTTATTGATTAAAAAAATTACTTTATATAAATAAATTTAGCATTATTGATATAAATAAATTTAACATTGTTGATATAAATAAATTTAGCATCGTTGATATAAATAAATTTAACATTATTTATATTTAAATTTTTAGACAATAATTCTATGAAAAAGCATGATAAAGAAAATGTGTTTAAAAATGCATCTTTTAATGAAACAAAACTTTTTAAAAAACGAAAACGTGTGCATATATCCAGGGATATAATTTATTGCATTACGTTTGCTCTCAATCTGAGTCAAACTAAAAAGCTTGCCGCTTTTCAAAAATCTAAAGCTAGATTTAAAATTAGTGCTAAGTATAGTTTATACTAACATTTTGCAAAAATAGCTTTAAAGACATTTTAAATAATTTTTTTATAATTTTATTCGTTTATTATAAAACGCATCTATGGGTGGTTGGCACTTATCATATGCTTTATTAAGTTTTTAATTTTTTTATATAAAATTTTTAATGCAAAAATTTTCACATTAGGATTAGTAGTTAGTGTTAGAATTAAGGTTTTGGAATGTTTTTTGGGGTGTGTTGAACATTTTTACTTAGAACATTCCGCACCGATTAATTAACTAGTTTTTGAGATAATATATTTTATGGGTGTAAAATGCCATAGGTGCATTTCAGTAAAAGTCAATTTATTTATAGGTTAACTAACAACGTATATTCCAATTATAAACATCACATGCTTTAAAGCGGTGAAACATTTTTTGCCATCCCCTAGTTAGATGATTCATAAATTCCAGTACTATTTAAGTTCAACAAGTCAAATTTATATTTTAAAACAGCATCCAAGGATCACAAAAGTGTTTCAAACGTCCAATTTGTCCAATGTACAACAATATTAGTCAAAAGTGCTTCCGCGATTTGTAACAATAAAATTTATTACTTTTCTTGAAATTTTAATATTGAACTAAAAGTTTTAATAATACAGTTATTGCGAAATTATGTAAGGTTTAAAGTTTGCTTTGAAAGTAATCTTTAATTTTCAATTTTCAATAACTATCTTGTTAAGTCAAATTTTTTATCATTATGTGATAATTTTTTAAAATTTTAGTTAACATTATTTGAAAATTTCAAGACAATAGAACTTTACATAACAAGCTGCAAGGATACTCTTAGACAGTACCGTAATGTTTGAGTAATTATTTAATAAATTCATTGTTAGAAATTGATTTTGATTAAATAAATTACTAATTATGTATTATATAATTTGTTTTTTTTTAAATTTTAGTGAGTGAGTGAAAATTTGTTATACCAATATACAGTACATGATCATTTATTATAAAATGCACCTATGGTGGTTTGGTATCATCTATCATGTTTTTATTATGTTTAGCAAAAATTTTCACGTTAGGTTAGCATTTAGGGTTATAATTAAGGTTCGGAAGGGTTTTTTGAGGCGTATAACATTTTACTTAGAACACCCGCATCAATTAATTAGCTAGTTTTTTGAGATAATGTATTCACATGTTTAAAACACCATAGGTTCGTTTTAGTAAAAGTCTGTGATAATCAAAATTAATTTTTAAATGAATAGTCCAGATATTTTGTTAGATATTAATCTAGGTGAAAATTTATTTGAAAACCCCTCAAGAGAGTAAGTATAAGATTTATTATTTTACTTTTAAATAAAATCTAAATTATCATTAAAATAATACATTTCTTTTTTTAATACATAATCGAATAACCAAAGCACTCCACTTTATGGTTTCTGTCCAAATCCAAAATGTAACAAACCACGAACTCATTATCTCTGGTGTCAACCATGTGAAACAAAACAATTTCGTGAAAATTTTAGCACTAGTGGAAATATAGAAATAGATCAGTTTATACAAGAAACTCAGCTTTCATCGACCTCATCGAAAAGTGTATTTGAATGGATACCATACAGTGAATTTTCTTCCCTCAAATTAATAAAAGCAGGCGTTGTAAAATATTATAGCGCTTATTGGTCTTCTGGCCCTAGGATTTTATGGGACAAAACAACACAAAAGTATTTCAGGTCGAGTCTCCATCAAGTGCATTTGATTGTCCATGATCTCGAAACGACCACAGAAGAAGTAATAAATCAGGTTATTTTTGAAAATCTTTTCCTATAAAATTTATTGAATTGACATTTAATTAGTTTGTCATAAATAGCACAAAAAATTTCTCCATTGCCTACGTAATAACTTTGCGGTAGGAATCGATTGGTATGGGATATCACAAGAGCCAGAAACAAAAGCACTCATATCAGTTGGTGAATATGCTGAAAAAGGGGTACTTCTTGAATATCTACGATCAAACTGTGTTAATTTGAATTGGAAAACTAGGATCAATTTCTTATGGCAAATATCTAGAGACTTACAATCTATTTTCGATTCTGGATTTGTTTCAACAGCATTAGGGACAGTTTCATTTTGTATAAAAAATGATCAGACCGTTGCATTTAGGGATTTTGTTTTTGTGGTTGATAAAAGCAATATAAAGTATAACAATAACAGATTCTATGTTCCAATGTATCAAGCACCAGAGTTCTTAAGAAATTTTATCTTCACTGAAGAAAGTAATATATACTCGTTCGGTTTAATCATGTATAACTTCTCATCACCATTTGTTTAAGAATTTGACGAGTATTCTAACTTAGACCTTACACCCAAAGGTGCACCGAAATCCTATGTTGACCTAATGAATCAGTGCTTGAACGATAATCCGAAATTACGTCCCTCAATAACGCAAATCGTCAATACTTTGGGTAAATGGTATCTTGAGGCAGAACGAAATATTGATACACAGATCGTTACTGAATTTCGGATGGCTGACGAATTTCGTCAAGCATCCCAAATGGAGGAGCTTGATAAAAAGTTGAAAATCAATCCGGATGTGATACCTCTAATGGACAAAGATATTTCTGCGGGATCTCTTTTATCAATTATCCATAAACTCGGTGTTGATTTAATCGATATTAATCAATTTGCTGATAGAAAGTGTATCAAAGAAGGTGGTTTTGGTTTTGTTGAAAAAGCTCTGTGGAGACGAACAAACAAGTATATTGTTTTGAAAAAAATGAAAAACATTTCAGCGATTAATTATAGAGAACATAAAGCGTTTATTCATGAATTGAGGATACATATTCGACTTGACCTAATGGACCGAATTGTGAGAATGTTTGGAGTAACGCAATGTGAATTTAAATCATTATAAATTATTGCGATTATAAAATAATTCATTATTTAAATTGATTGTTTTTTTTTAAATAGCTATAGATGGCTTTTTTATGGTTATGCAATATGCTAATGACGGTGACTTGGCAGATTTTCTTAAGAGTAACTCTTCAAAATTAAAATGGCCAGACAAATTCCAACTTGCATTAGAGATTGCTGAAGGGTTAGATTTTTTACATAGAGAAGACATCGTGCATAGAGATCTTGTATGAAATATATTTTTCTTTTTCTTTAAATATAAATTGCATTAAATCCTTTGACACAATATTTATTGTAGCACTCTCGGAACATTCTTGTTCATGAAGGACATGCAAAACTTTCTGATTTTGGGATATCACGTCAAACTAATGCTGAGACTACGATTCTCGTTGGAACTTTTGGACGGTTTCAATATATTGAACCTAAAATATTACAAGATCCAAACTATCCTTATGATAAACGATCAGACATATACTCGTTTGGCGTTTTAATGTGGGAAATTTCTAGTGGCAAATGTCCTTTTGATGAAGGTGATCCAATAGCGGCTAGTATATGCATAATTAAGGGTGGAAGAGTAGAACCAATTCAGGACACTCCGGATGATTATCGCGACCTTTATGTTGATTGTTGGAATAATGAGCCTCAAAATAGACCCGTAATTAGTGCGATAGTGGAACGTTTAACACTTATAAATAAAAATCTAAACTTGAAGAACGACGATAAACACACTAATAGTATATATTGAATAATTCTGCTAAATGATTTTTGTAATCCGCTAGAATATATCTGATTTGAGTTTTTGAATCCTTTCTTAGATGAATCATCCGAGTTATCCGAAACTAGCCAAAATGACAACCATCCAGTTTCAAAAAGTAGGTACTTTTTTAAATATTCATTTATGAATACGAAAGTAGATTTTGACATGTATATTTCAAATTTAGGTATTGATTTCGTGATAGACGACCCTTCTGACAATTAATTCTATGGATTAAATTATGTCCTTATAAAAGAAAAAATTTTTGTTGAAAAAAATAAATTTAAAAATTTTCATCAATACTGTACTATTAGAAAGAGGAACTAGCATCAAGAAACCTAAGAAATTGGGATTACCCAAATAACTATAGCATAACTTTGGTATTGTAATAGCTAACTATAAGACACAAACCTGCCCACCATGCAATGTTTTTATTTTATCTTCGCTATTTTAAAAACATCTAATATGACTAGGCTATTCATACTATTATTTATAGTAATCCAATATAGATAGCAAGTAAGCTTTAAGTCTGAAAATAATGGATTTTATTTCATTTATTCATGATAGTGTCTGCTCCTAGTAAATACTGTATCAATATAGAAAACAAATCTATACTAACTTTGTGCGAATTAAAAATTTTCATAATAAAATATTCAAAAAATTTCAGCTTCAGCCATCACATTTATTATCATGCACCGGGAAAGGGAGTGGAACGAATGGAACAACTACTCATAGGAGAAATAGTGTACGGATGTGAATCTTAAACTTTTAGTCAGCGTGATCATATCACATGCAACAGCAATGGTTTATAATCATGTTTGAAACAAGTATTGAAAATCAGCTATTGCATCGAGATATGGAATTAATGACGATTAAAAAACATTTAATAGTCTAATATTAGCACTTCGCATTCAAACTTTCTCTATCGATTAATTTAATCCATATATTTCCCCATTTGTGCAGCTATCTAGTCTGGTGTTCTTAAATTGATCATGGTTCAATACATTTTCATGTATATGTTTGCACACGCATTGATTTTGCCCTATAAAAAATGGTGCACGGGATTTATGGTCAAACACGGTTATGTGACAGCACGAGAGTATACAGAACTGAACAGAATATAACACGGGCAGTGCACGGGAAATATGCTCTGGACACATAAAGAGGCGCGAATTCCGTGCAACAGTGCACGTAATAGTATGCTTTTTTACGTGTTTTCCCGTGTAATTTCCCGTATAGTTACGTATGTAGCTGTATTAATTAAAATCTTTAAAAGAATTTTAATTTCGATTCTCAATTTAGGCTATATTCTTCTGCGATACGACATGTATAATTATTAATATGAAATGAGGCGAGCAAAACTAGGCCGAAAGCATACAAGAAAATTTGTCAACGACATTATTTTTTTTTTTTAAAAAAAAGAACCAGATTTGCAAAGAGGACAAGCGAAGCGAGACCGAGAGCCATATAAAGAATGACGTTTATGCCCTTTCCTATTTATATTTAAAACTAGTTGAGTGGACGCTTAATAACTACATTTATAATGCTTATGTTTCTTATGCTAATAACGATCGTGAACAGTCCTTAAAATCGATCGTG